AAATGTGCATAGACTTTGTGGTCTGATTTTTATCAAGGTACTAAGTAAGCAATAAGGTGTGTGGTTATGCATTTGACAAAGTAATTGTCAAAGTAAAAGAGTTATTTACTCACCCTCATGTCATGTACTGTTATTTCTCTGGGGAATGACATAAGCTGTCATACAACTTGGAATATAGTACTAATTGTTACTTTTACAGTGCCTTTTTAGAGTTTCTTGACAGGCATCTTAATGAATGGAAAAATTATTATTGTGTGTGTGTGTGCGTGCTCCATGAAAATAAAAAACAGTTTGGAATGACATAAAGGTGCCTAAATTATGGCAGAAATTTCATTTTTGGATGAACTATGACTTTAAGTGAAACAAACAAGTATCTCAGTTATTATATTTTTGCTTAAAAATATTATTTAATTCCTCATCTGTTCAGATGTCTCTGTGTTCTTGTACTAAACAGTCAGTTTCTGTAACACACCTTAAACAGCCAGTGGTGTTGTAGAAGACCTCAGGGTCAGTGTGTTTGTTAGTGTTGCTATCAGTCGAAAAGTTGTAAGGCACCACAGCGCTTTCTGTAAGCAGAGGCATGGCGTTCTTGATCAGCTTTGGCTTCAGCTCATCAGCCGAGGATAGATTCCACAACAGACCTGAACAGACATCAAAGGGTCATACTCCATACCTCATATTGTATTTTCGTTTTAAATAGCTTTTGATAAACACATTAATATCGAACACAAAACCAATTCATGTCACTTTCTTTTAACTATAAAGGAAACTATTCACATGCGATGTGATGAGATCATAGGACAACAAATGACACACGGCACATTAAAAAGTTGAAGCACAGGAAAGAGTCGAGTGAGAGCGGCATGTCTTACCAGTGAGTTGTTTCTGTGTTTCTATAATCTTGGTGTTTCTGAGCAAGGTCAGAATGGCCTCTATTCCTTTGCAACGTTCCACCTCAAGCTTGTTATTGTTGTCTTTAAAAACTAAGTTGCGCAGTGCAGCGGCAGCGATCTGTTGCAGCTGTGGATTGTCACATTTCAGCAGCTGAATAAGACCTGGAATCCCACCCAAACGGCAAACCTTTAAGTGATACAAAACAATACTTACGATTAAATCATTTACAATGATGTGTAGTATTCAATTGCATTACAAAAATATAAGGACGATGTAATTAATTATTAGTAACAGACAGACAGAAAAATGGAAACATAGACGGACAGACAGACAGACAGATAGATAGATAGATAGATAGATAAAGACAGACAGACACACAGACAGACAGACAGACAGACAGACAGATAGATAGATAGATAGATAGATAAAGACAGACAGATATAGATAGATAGATAGATAGAAAAAGACAGACAGATATAGATAGATAGACAGACAGACAGACAGACAGACAGACAGACAGACAGACAGACAGACAGACAGACAGACAGACAGACAGACAGATAGATAGATAGATAGATAGAAAAAGACAGACAGATATAGATAGATAGACAGACAGACAGACAGACAGACAGACAGATAGATAGATAGAGACAGACCGACAGACAGACAGACAGACAGACAGATAGAGATAGATAGACAGACAGACAGACAGACAGACAGACAGA